CCCGATACTCATAAGGGAAGTCTCTGGGTGTCAGGGAGGCAGCCAGGGGCCTCAGGTGATGAGGCTCCTGGGGTGTCCTGTGGAGGAAGGGGGTGATGTTGCTGTAAGGACTGAGCCATGGTTGGGGTCAGAGGCTGGGTCCATGGCAGGTGCCCTGATGGCTGATGGACTTCCCAGGGACCTTGGGGTGTAAGGGACACAATGGCCTCTGTGATTCCCCTTCCACTGTAACACCCAAGGTTGTCCTGGGAGAGTCTTACCTCTTGTCAGCTGGGGGACACACTAACTTTCCCCTTATCTATATCCCATGCAGCCCCTCCTCCACCTATGCGTCACACTAGGCCTGTCTCCTGTGTCATGGCCACTCCTCTTTTTGTTTGTGTCACGTGAGGCCCTGCAGGGCTATAGGGAGCTCCTCGTATTTAGCCTCAGCTTATCCCTCCACAGTCATCCAGAACCTCTACCTGCCATCACAGTGTCACTTGGAGCCAGTCTCCCCAGCTGTGTAACACCAGCTCTTACATGCTCTGTGTCACATGGACTACCAGTCTGTGAGCCATGAGCCCTGCGCTCACATGTCAGCCAAAACTTTCTCCAATCAGGAGATACAAACACATCTTACTGCTGTAAGAACTCATCTTCCTCCCTCACATTCAGCTCCTGCCTCTGCATCACGCTCGGTTCCTCTCCCTCTGCATCACACTCAATTCCTCTCCCTCTGCCTCACACTTGGCTCCTCCTGCTGTATCACACTCAGCCCTCCCAGTGTCACACTCAGCTCCCCCTGCATCACACTGGGCTCCTCACCTTCATCACACTCAGCTCCTCCCAGTGTCACACTCAGCTCCCCCTGCATCACACTGGGCTCCTCACCTTCATCACACTCAGCTCCTCCCAGTGTCACACTCAGCTCCTCCTGCATCACACTCAGCTTCTCCCCCCACGTCACACACTCAGCTTCTCCTTCAGCATCACACTCGGCCCTCTCCCTGTGTCCAACTTGGTTCTCACCCTACGTCACAAGAGGTGATCTTCCTTCCTGTGTCACACTCGGCTCTTCCCCCTGTGTCACTCATTCTGCCTCACCTGTTTTTTGTAGTTTGAGTTCTGCAACCTGAGTCTCATCTAAACCCCATTACACATTGTAAAATCACTCCCACAAAGGCCTCTTGCACACACAGACATCTCACACATGTGCTTCCCACATGTGTTTGTGCATCGCGCTCTTCCAGGCCATAGTCTGCTGACCTGCAGCCGTTAAGCTGTGCTCTGTGAATGGAGTGGACTTGGTATCCTGAAGTTACTTGTTTTCTGAAGCCTGAGGACCTTCTCTACGGGGTGCCTGCGAGTATGTGAGCTTGTTTGTGTGCATATGTCGCCCGCTGGCCGGGGGTGGTGCTGAGAGCCTCCTGGCTGGGGAAGGTTGTTCTCCATGCTGTTGGCAGAGGTGGATCCCTGCTCCTAGCACCCTTACAGTCTCGCACATCCCTGTGGATTTCAGTTGATTTGCAGTTCCTGGCAGCCTTCGCCACCACCAAGCAGCAATGTTCTTGTGATCCCCTTCTGAAAAGGCTGGGGCCTCAGCCGCCCTGCCCCCACCACTGTGTTTTACCACTGTGTGTCTCGGAGATGGCCCCTGAGTCCTCCCCTGGTTCCCTGAAGTGTCTGGTGCAGCCCGTTTCACAGATGCACACGAGGAGCTGCAGGTGTGCCCAGGGATCCAAGCTGTGGGGGAGCAGAGGTGGCCCCTGAGGTACTCTCAGGACTGTGGGTGGGGCATAGCCGGAAGAGGCAGGGATGGGAAGGATGGGTGTGCTGGGCAGGTCCCACACGCTGCCTGGGCTGGCTGTGCCTACTGCCACTGCTCTAACCACTGGCAACAGGTGTCCCGTGCATGCCCGGGAGGAGGGTTGCAGCCCTTAGTCAGCAGTTGGGTGGTGGGAATGGCAGTCATCCAGCTCCTAGATGATGCTTTCTTCATCTCCTCCAACCACACACAGCCTCCAGACCATCCTCTGCACCCTCGGCTGCAGAAGAATGTGTCTCCAAGCTTGCTGCTGCCCCGCCCGTCTCTGCCCTGCACGCTCTGGAGGGTGCTTCTCTCTCCTTCCTCCTCCAGCTCCCCTAGTTTCTGGAGGGAGGGTCTGGGGCTGGGTCATCTCTGAGGCTCCCTCCTTGGAGGGGAAGGTTCTGTTCCCCCAGGGCAGGGATAGTCACCGAGGCTGGGCCCTGGGCCACCCTCCAGACCTGCTGTCCAGGGTACAAAGCCTGGAGGCAGGGACAGGGCTGCTCTGGAAGTTCTCGTGCTGGGGACCAGGTCATGCGCCCTCGGTGGGCCTTCAGACAGGAGCCAGCTCCCAGGACACGGGTGGACAGCAGAGAGGTGCTGTCCTCAGTCCCCAGGGCTTGGACAGCTCAGGGCTGACTCCCCACCCCCATGGTCCAGGAGGAGGGTCTCCTTGAGGGGCCTCTGCCTCTCCCCAGGGCTCCTCTGTGACCAGGAGGCTGAGGCCCCTCACAGGCGGCTTCTCACTATCTCAGCCCATCTGGAAGCCTTTCCTGTCTCCCCATGGACTGCCAACCCCGAGGAGGGCACCCTTCCTTCCCCTCGTCCCTGTAGCAGTGGCCCTACCTTTGCTTCCCCCCTTCCCTGCTCCCCTACGCATGACTGCACTGTGCTAACTGCTGTTAACCTTCCCCAAAGCCAGCCCAGGCCAGGAGGGAGGGGAGAGCCACACCCACTCTTCCCACCCCGCCTTCTCACCTGTGTCAGCAGAAGCCTTGGGGAAGTTCCCTGTGGGTGCTGCGGTCACTCCTGATGGCCTTGGGACCTTACCAGAGTGCTCGTGGACCCAGCAGCATGGCACCAGCAGGTGGGGAATCTGGGGCTGGAGTTGATGGCTTCTGTCTTCTCTCTCACCTTGGGAACACCCCATGCTTAAACACCACCCCCGTTTCTTCCATAGCACTGGGGCTTGGGGAGGGAGTGATGCTGTGAGGTGGCTGGTGCACCTGTTGGGTGGGCTAAGGTAGAGGAGGCCTGGGGAGAGGGAGGGTGATAGGCTGGGGCTGAGCTCTACTGGCCTCTCATCTGGGTCTTGCCTTGTGCTTTGGGTGGGGGGTTGACCTGGGGTCTGGCCTGGTGCCAGGAGCACCCTCAGAAGCAGTGCTTGTGCGATGGCACCTGCTGTGGTGGCCGTGACGTCAGTACCCTCTGGTCATTTAATTCTTTCCTTTCTTTTCTTCTTCTTCTTTTTTTTCCAGGAGAAAAAAAAAAGGTTTGTGTTTTTCCTTTAAAAGCTGGGGACAGAATGACCTGCTGCTGTGGGTGATTCCCCTTGGGCCCACAGCAGCCTTTGTCTTTGGAAGCCACTAAGGGAGACTTGCAGAGGGATGGAAGCCCCTGACCTTGAAACCAGGGGTCTCGCCCATGATCCCATGGTGTTGTGGTCGGGGGTAGAGTTCTCAGGTGACTCATAGGAGACAGTCAGATGCCCAGGGGCCAGCGGGGTGCTCGTGGGTATCCACTCTGTGGCCAGAGACCCCAGGTACAGTTGGGGTGGGTGGGTAGAAACTGCCCTGCGGTTCTTGGTACCTTTGGGTACCAAGTAGGATCTGTGATGGAAATGGCTTTTCTGAGGCCACCGGGAGGGACGTGCAGTGTTGCGCAGCCCACTGAGAGCCCAACAAGCCCCAAGCTGTGGATCTGAGTGCTGTCAGGTGTCAGGGTGCTCCGACGGCCCAGAGGGCAGGGGTTCCGTGTACAATGCCTTTGGAGTCACCTCTCCCTCGGGGATTCAGAGCCCTGGCCCTTGGCCTCCTTTGAGAGGGAGTAGGGGTGTGTGCTTTGGAGGTCAAGGATGTGGGAGTAGAGCAAGTGGGTAGCAGTGTCCAGGGCCATGCGCCTCGTCGAGAAATCCTCTGCCAGGGGCCAGCCTGCTCCGGGTCAGGGCATTGAGCCTAGGCTGAGGGTGTAAGCCACTGCACCCTGATGCACATGACCAGACCCGGGCCTCCAGGGCTGCCTGCTGCGGATCCCCCAGGGTGGGATCTCCGTTGGAGTCCTCTCCCCGCCTGTCCCACTCAGGGTTGGCAGGATCCCCTGTGCAGCCCATGTTGCCCCTCCCTCCCTGCACCAGTCACCATGCCACATGCCCCCACCCCCGTAGCTGAGCACAAACCACAGAATCGCATCATCTTTTAATCACTTTATTTAGGTGAGGGAGAGGGAAGGTGGGAGGGACTCCCAGCGTCTGGTGGGAGTGCTCTGGGCTCCTCTGCAGGGGTCTGGCCTGCAGGACTGAGGGCAGTGACCCCCTTCGGGGTTCCTTGGGCCCCGGGCACCAGGGGGCCTATGAGTTTAGGAAGTGGTGCTGGTACGTCAGATGCTCCATGGAGCCATGTGTCCAGGTAAGACCAGAGTTCAGGGTCAGACATCAGTGTTGAGGGCGGAACCAGACGTTGGGGTTGGGGTGGAGGGAGGGCTTGCTTGCAGGGGGGGCTGGAGGGGGCACTGCACCACGAGGACCTCGGGACGGAGGTCAGGGCTGGGGGTGGGGGCAGGGGCACCGGTGGCAGAGGTAGAACTCGGCGGAGCACCCGAGGTCAGTGTCCCAGGACGCACAGGACGACGGCGCGGCACGCCACGGCGGGCGGGGGCGTCCCTGGCATCTGCTTGCTTTGGCTGCACCTGTTGTTGCTTGCTTCTTTGTCCAGCCTTGGGATGTGTGGGTCATTTCTTCCTCGCATGGACCTCTCCCTGCCAGTTGGGGCCTGGGACCTGGAGGTTTAAGACTGCATGGGGGTGGGGAGAGGTTGTGTTGCTCAAAGTTGTCTGTGGGGTGGAAAATCCCCTAGCACAGGTGGCGACACTGCTGGTTGAGGTGTTCAAGAAATTGTTGCCCTTCAGGAACGGATGCCCCATGGTCCAGATCGACAGGAGGGGCAGAGATGGCAGGAGGCTGGGTGGGGTGTGAGATCCAGGGGAGTATCCTGAGTTTTCAGTCAAGATCAGGGTCCTCCTCGGGGTCCCCCTCCGGCTCGGGCGATTCCTGCTGGCTCTCCGGGGGGGCAGCAGGGGTCCAGGTGCTGGCCATGGTCAGGAAGCGGCTGAGAGCCCGGGCCACTTGCTCTTGGCTGAGCAAGGTGAGGCGGCCGTCGGTGCCACGGATGTGGAGCAGGCGGTGCTGGAGGAAGCTGAGGACTTCTGGGTGCAGCAGGCTGCGTGGGCGAAGCGGCAGGGCCGTGGTGGCGGTGGCATGGGCAGTGTCCACATCTGCGTGCACGTCAGCAGTGGCAGCAGGGAGCAGGGCTCGGGGCACGTCGTTGGCCCGCGCGTCCTGCGAGGTGTCTTGCAGGCCGTCACGCAGGCCACTCTGACGGTAACGTTGCAGGTCGTCTTGCAGGGCTTCTCGCAAGACGACATCTTCATCGCCAACGACGTGCAGCTCCAAGTACCGGAAGTGGCGTGGGGGGGCAGTGGTAGTTGTGGCAGGAGACGGGCCACGCCCTGGAGGGGTGACCCTGAATCCGAAGAACTCGCAGAGCATCAGCCAGAAGCCAGGGGTGAAGTGTAGGCCCCGGTGGGTGGCAGGTAGCAGGGCGTGGTGTCGCCAGGGCCCGGGACCCAGGAACAGCTCCAGCAGCTCATGGGCCGGGAGGGTGTTGGCTCCCACGAGCGGGGGCATCTGTGTGAGCAGCTGCACTGCGGCGGTGGCCATGCCGCTGCCGGCAAGGAGGGAGGAGTCCAGGATGAGACGCAGGGAGTGTCTCTGGGGCGCAGAGGCCGAGGGCGATGGCGGCGGTGTGGGTGGCGGTGCGGGCGGCAGGCAGAGGCGGCGACGACGGGCCCTCAACAGCACGAGCATGGCGGCCAGGCCAAGCACGCTCTTCCAGTACAGCAGACCTCGGAAGAAGTGCAGGACCACCGCCCTGATCTGAGCCATGCTGAAGTGGGCCAGGAAGCTGTGGAGGATCTGGTGGGCGGGGATCAGGGCCAGCAGCTCGCGTGCCAGGTTCTGCTCAGTGGCTTCATCCTCAGGGTCAGGCATGTCTTCATCTTCGTCGTCGGTGTCGTGGGCATCCTCGCCATTGCCCGAGGGGCCCCTTCGGGACCTCCTGGCGGCAAATAGCAGCAGGGAGCGTGGGGAGCGTGAGCCCCGGGGGTTGCAGCCGGGTGGGGTCAGCTGGGACTGGCCTTCGCCGTCCTGTTCAGGCTGCTCCATGACGTCGAAGTGAAAGTGGGAGAAGAAAAAGACCCAATGCCCCGGGAGAAGTACGGTGAGCCTGTCATTATTCAGAGAGGCGAGATCCTCTGTGTTGAGCAGGATCATGATGGGCTCCTCGGTGTTCTCCAGGTAGCGGCACCACACCACGAAGGCAGCCCGGATCGGAAGGAGCCTCATCTCCACGGCCGAGGCCCCCAGCTCGAGGGGGGACATGGGGCGCGAGTAGAAAGCGCAGGGCACTCTCTTGCCGGTTTGGTCGTCGATTTGGATGAGGGAGGCGTGCAGCACGGTGCTGGTGGCGCCCGTCTGCAAGTAGAACTGGTGCTGGGGTTTGGGGTGATGCAGCAGGGGTGCCCGGCGGAACGCCCTCCGCAGGCCATCGAACGCTTCCTGCTCGGCCTCACCCCAGTACAGGGCGTTGTGGTGGTCGTAGGCATCGGCCAGCAGCTGCTGCACCAGCGGCTCGGCGATGACCGAGAAGCGCTCCACGAAGTGCCGGTACGGGAGCACGAGCTTGAGGAAGCCATGGAGGCCTCTCCGGGAGGTGGGCTGCGGGTAGTCAGTGATGGCGCTCACCGTGTGCTTGTTGAGCCTCACCCCTTTGGGGGTCAGCACGAAGCCCAGGAATTCGGCCGTGTGCCGGTGGAACTGGCTCCTGTCCAGCGAGCAGTAGACATGGTGGTGCCGGAAGCGGAGCAGCACCTGGCGCACGTGCTGCAGGTGCTCCTCTTGGCTCATGGAGAAGACCAGGACCTCCCGGCCAGAGGAGAGCACGAGGGAGCCTAGCATGTCCTTGAGGATGAAGTGAATCGCCCTCTGGGGGATAATGGGGTCTGGGGAGAGTGGGAAGGGCTGGTAGCTCTTGGCGTCTTGAAGCTCCAGGCCGAAGGCTGCTCTCCACACGTCCTCAAGGCGGGGTGGGCTCACGCTGTCCTCCACCACGCTGCCCCGCAGCTCCAGCCTCGTGAACCACACGGCCCCGTGCAGCTGGTCAAACAGCTCCGGGATGAGCTGAATGTAGTCTTGCCTGTCGGTCAGCATGTTGCGCAGGGCCCAGCACTCGTGCCGCTGCCTGGCTTGCTCCCACACCCTAGCCCCCACAGGCTCCCGTGGCACGGCCAAGGGACACTCGTGGCGCTGGCGCTGCTTGGCTTGTTCCCGCGGTGCGGTGGTGGTGGTGGTGGTGGTGGCGGCGGCGGCGGATGGACACCCGTGGAAGGGGCCGCTGCGATCACTGTCTCCAGCCTGCTGAAGCTCAGAGGGCTCTGGTTCAGAAAGATCATCGGATCCGTCTGAGCTTGGCTGGTCGGAAGTCTCCTCATCTGCTTCCCTCGGGTTAAACACGTCGGCCAGGTCGGAGTATGGGGATGGCAGGCCGGGCAGCAGGCTCATGCCGTGCCGCTCGAGGGCAATGCATGGCGGGGGTGGGCGGAAGCAATTCTGCAGACAGTAGGGGGAGTGGAAGGTGCAGCGGCCTTGGATCCAGTCGATGTCTGGGGCGTGGATGCGGAGCCAGTGGATGCCCAGGACCACCGAGAAGTTGGGCGAAGGTAGGATGTCGAACTGGATGGACTCCTGGTGGTTCTGGTGGATGCAGATCAGGGGCTCGGTGTACAGCCAGACGGGCTCGTCGCCGATGAGCGAGCCGTCGGCGCACTGCACAGACTGCGGGTAGGGCTTCTCGTACAGCTCCACGTAGTGCTCCTGTGCGAACTTCTCATCCATGAAGTTGCCTTCCGCCCCCGAGTCCACGAGGGCCTGGACCGCCACGCTGTGGTAGGGGTTCACGCGCACCATGAGCAGCAGGAAGAGGTGAGCTCGGTGGATAGCGGGGTGGACTTCGCTGGGCAGCCAGCTGCTCACCATCCACCTCTCTGGGGCAGGTGAGTCGATCCAGGTCAGGTTGCGTGGGCGGGCCTCGGGGGGCAGCCTCAGCACCGCTCTGCGCTCGGCCAGCTTTTCTTCTATCTGCAGGATGAGCACGACCAGACTGTCCAGGGAGTCTGGCTGGGGAACCCGGAACAGGTAATGCCGGATGTCTTCATTCAGCCCCTGGCACAGGTGGGCCTGCAGGACTTCATCCGGCCAGCGCAGGATGGGTACCAAGCTCTGGAACTCGGTGATGTAGTCGGTGGCTGAGCGCTGCCCCTGCCTGATGTTGAACATGGCGTCTTCTGCCACACGCAGGGATTGGCGGTACTCGAATACTTCTGACATGGCCTCCAGGAAGGCCGGGAAGTTGCTCATCAGGGGGCTGTTTTGCTCCAGTAGGGTCTTGGCCCACTGTAAGGCCATACCAGAGAGGTGGCTGAGCACAAAATGCACACGTTGCTGGTCACTGCAGAACATGCGTGGGCAGCTCTGCAGGATGAGCTGGCAGAGCACGATGAACTCGTGGTATTCCCTGCGGTCACCCGAGAAGCGCCGGGGGCTGGGCAGGCTGCCCGCTGCCATTCCTCTCACCAGGATCTCTTCTGCCACTCTTTGTTGCTCAGTGAGGTCTTGCATCCGCAAGTAGAGTGAGATGATGGACCGTATCACAGACATCGCTCCCCCAGGGCCACCTTCGTCTTGGCCTTCGTCTTGGCCTTCGCCTTCATCTTCTCCATCACCCTCGTCTTCGCCTTTGTTTTTGCCTTCGCCTTTGCCATCGCCCTGGCCTTCGCCCTGACCTTCACCTTTGCCCTCGTCTTCGCCATCGCCATCGCCCTGGCCTTTGCCATCATCCTCGTCTTCGCCTTTGCTTTCGCTATCGTCCTGGCCTTCGCCATCGCCATCGCCATCACCTTCGCCCTGGCCTTTGCCTTCACCATCGCCATCGTCTTCGCCGTCTTCCTGGCCTTCGCCTTCGCCCTGGCCTTCACCATCGCCCTGGCCTTCGCCTTCGCCTTTGCCATCGCCCTGGCCTTCGCCATCGCCCTGGCCTTCGCCATCGCCCTGGCCTTCGCCCTGACCTTCGCCTTTGCCCTCGTCTTCGCCATCGCCATCGCCCTGGCCTTCACCATCTTCCTGGCCTTCGCCATCGCCCTGGCCTTCGCCATCATCCTGGCCTTCGCCATCACTGTCGCCCTGGCCTTCGCCATCATCCTGGCCTTCGCCATCACTGTCGCCCTGGCCTTTGCCATCACCCTCGTCTTTGGCCTGGCCTTCGCCTTCACCTTGGTCTTCAGCATCATCCTGGCCTTCGCCATCACTGTCGCCCTGGCCTGTGCCATCAACGTTGCCCTTGCCCTGACCCTCAAGATTCTCCTCTCCTGCCACTTCCAGGTTGGTGTCACTGTTGCCCCTTGGCCCTGCCTGCACTCCAGTCAGGTTTACTGATGCTTCTTCCATCCTCTCAGATGACTGATTGCGTGGATCCCCCTGGCGTGAACCATTGCATGACTCCTCCACGTCTTGGAGTAGGTCATTGGGTGGATCCTCTATTTCCTTACGTGGGCCACTGGATGGCTCCTCCATGTCTTGGAGAAGATCAGTGGGCAGCTCTTCCGGCTCCTCCTGAGGGCCACTGACCGGCTCCTTCCTTGCTGGGGCCAGGGCCTGGGCCACTGCGCGGGCCATCACCTGCTGTGCTTCGCTGCCAGACGCCCCCACGGTGCTGCCGCATGAGCCCTCGGAGGACTCCATTTGTTTTGATGATGGATTGTTAGGCTCCATCATCGTCTCAAATGAGTCTTCAGAGGGTTCTAGCGTGTCGTCGGTGGGAAGCGGTGCCTTCCGAAGATGGGTAAGGTCACGATGCGCCTGCTGAGCCGCTAGGACCCTGGCGATCAGAACCTGGGGGAAAGGGCATGGGATGCAGAGGCAGTGGTCAGGGTCAAGTTGTCAGGGACAGGCTCTGAGCTCCTCAGTGTAGGACAGGGAGTCACCAGGAAAGGCTCCTCCTGTGTTCAGCTTATGGTCACCTGCAGGAGCTGACCTGGGGATGCGACCTGCCTCGCTTGCCCAGTTCATGGGTGTGAGAAATTCACAGATCATAAATCGTGCAGTGTGAATGACCCAGAGTGGCTGCTGTGGGTAGGCAGGCAGGCACATGGCAGGAGGCATAGCTGCCTCATTTCACCCTGGCACACATGCCCGGCCAGTTCTTCATATCTTGTGTGATTTCCCCAGAGCTTGGTGCTCCGTGCCATGTGAAGCTACCCCCGCGCCCTGAGGCCAGTATTGTTCCTGCAGCCAGGCCAAGCTCCTGGGGCATACAGGGGTCTCTGCTTCCCCCATGTTGGGTGGACAGGGAGAAAACAGGGCCCTATCCTGCTGCTTGGATCAGCAGCCCAAAATAGCTGTTGTTTCCTGCCCCACGTTCCCAGGGGCAAGGTGAGGGCAAGGTGCTGTGGTCTGGGCTCCTGGGCTTACTTCCTTACCTCTCCACATCAGACAGCCTCTGGGGGACATGGTGTCAGGTCCTTGTGCAGCCCTAACTTGATCCTCCCTCATTTCTGGGGTGGGTGATTGCGCTTGGTGGACGGGGCCTGTTTTCCATGCTGCCCATCTCTGAGCTGACGAGACTTTTAGAGTTTCCCCATCTTCCTTTCCAGGGCGCACCCTCTTTAGGGGGCTTATGAGATGCACATGTGCCTCTTATGTTTCCCCAACAGTATCCCCATCCTTGTGCAGTTACTCTCCCCACTGCAGCCTGGAATCCCTTCCCTGGTTCTGCTGCTTGGTATCCTCAGCAAGGGGCTTGGGGATCCCGGGGGTGGAATGGGAGTATGGAACGAGGGCTGTGAGGGGGTCTTTGTAATCTGATTGTCTTGGGGGTTTGGGTGTCAAGGGGTAGGAAGTTTGAGGGGGCTGAGGCTAAATTTAAAATGATTCTCTGGTTGGGTTATTATTATTATTGTAATTGTTGGCAAATCTCCTCTCTGCTGGGCACAGCAAGTCCAGCCGTGATGACCCACTGGATCCCCTCTCCAGTTACTGCTCTTTCACACTTTGGTTCCTTCTCCACGTTCCTGGCCCCTGGGCAAGCTATAAAAAAGCGTACATTCCCTTACATAAAACTCCTCTTTGGCCAAAATCCAAAATTCCCATCCAACAGGATGTGCACTTGGGGTCTGCTGTTTCTCAAAGTGAAGTGCGCTCCTGGGTGTGACAGTCGTCACTGTTTACTGAGCGTCGGCGACGGCAAATCCAAACCTTTTAGCATCAACACATCTGACATGTAAATTCACCAAACCACTCCCTGGCTGAAATTTAAAGACCTTAGCATACTACAGCATGCTGATGAGATCATGCCACGAGCTAGAGATCACATTTTTTCCGAATTTATAGTATCCACATTAGATATAATCACCATCGTCGTTATTATCATGACCGTATCATGTGGCTTGCTGCGTGATCTGTTCCTTCCTGCCTGTCAAAGTCCTCTAAGGGACACCGTGGCCATGTCCTGCCGTGTGTCTACCAGAAAGATCTCAGCATCTCTCTCGGAACGCTTTGTTGCCTAAAATTCTAATTTGTAAGCAGTGTAATTTGAAACCATTTTAGTAAAAGGAAATCTTCATTTCTTAATGTCATTATAAATTTGGCCATGCAAATGATCAAATCCTTAACTTTTCTGCTTTTGACCTAAAATATCCTTGGCATACTGTAAGAACTTTGACACACCTTAACTCTTAAAGGTTAAACTGTCAGCAAGATAAAGTTATCTCATAATTACCTATTTACACAAAGGTTTCATAAAAGGAATAAAGTTTTTACCATGTAATTTATTTGCCATCTGATCATACAATATTCCAGATCTCACAAGGCCACATCAAAACTTTATCAGCTAAATTCCAAACCTCAAAGTGAATAGAAAGAAAGAAAGAAAGAAAGAAAGAAAGAAAGAAAGAAAGAAAGAAAGAAAGAAAGAGTGAGCTAACTAAAGAACCACAAAGAACCCTCGCCATGTCAACCCTCAAACAGAAAGCAGCACTGTCCTGCAGGGGGCGGAGTGCCTGCCCTGTCCCTTCTGCTGGAACCTTTAGAGTAGCTCTCAGTTACCTGTGCGACAAGTTTGAAATTGTTCAGCAGAAAAAACATTGGACAGTCCTTGCAGACTGCTCTAACCAGCACACGACTTTCACTATGTCATTTTCTTAAAATCTCTTAATGGCACAAATCCAAATTCCTTGGCTTGGCATAAAAAACATGATCTGGCTACTTTTCCAAAAGCAGCATGCGTACTTCTCAGCGTGGTGTGCTCCTATTCCTCAGGGCCGTCCACGCTGCGCGTGACCTGCTTCCTGAGCCGCAGGCCCAGCCCGGGGCTCCCGCTGCCCAGGGCGGGGCTCCCGCTGCCCAGGGCGCGGCTCCCGCTGCCAAGGGTGGGGCTCCCGCTGCCAAGGGCGGGGCTGCGGCCTCAGCACAGCAGAGGCCTCATCAAATCCGCACACCTTAGCAGAAAGTATGGTTCTCCCTCTACTTCCTCTCATCAATTCACTTCTTAAAACCCTTTATTGGCCAAATTCCAGACGCCTCTGTGTGAGGATTCCACAATGAGATCATCCTGCTTTTGCAAATGGAACGCTCCACTGCCCCGACTCTTCCATAAAGTCACATCTCCTTAGCATTGCTGGAAAAGTCCATCATGTTATCTGTACCATAAAAATTCATTTTTTAGCTATGCCGAAATACACAAGTTGGAGCATGTAGCTCCTCAATTTAAAACTTTTTTCAAAGTTCTTCATTGCCTATAACATGAAGTCCCAACTACTTAACATAAAATGTAACATTTTCCTGGGTAATTTATCTTCAGGCTGGTCTACAAAAGCTCCATGTCTCACCCAGCCACTCCTTTAAGGCCTTCTTTGGCTGAAATCCAAACATATTAGCACAGTCTAAAAATTTGATCATGTCATTCCTTAAAATAAAATTCACACTTCTTAGTAAAATATATAAAATTTGACCTTTTAGACAATGTCTCTTAATTGTGTTTGGAATGGAATTCCAAATTCTTACCGCAAATGTGAATTTTATTTTTTTCCGCTGACAGTGTGCTATTTACCAGACATGCCAAGAAAAGTCCCCCTTCCCTCAGAAAACATGCTATGGGCTGATTCAGCGTCCTAGGCGTTAGTGCAGAAACCCTAATCTTGTCAGAGTAAACCCGGATCTCTGCACAGTCACAGCTCCGATCATGTAACCCTCATGATTAAAACCCGTCAAGGCTCGCCACCACATTCATCAAGCCTCCTTGGCGCGGTCTGCAGGTCAGATTTCCGCACTCCCTGGATAGGGAGAGTCAGGCATCTGACCGTGATCCCACATCTGTGGCCTGTACTTTGCTATTTGCAATTTCCCAATGCTTCCTCGTTGCATGTAACATAAAATCCCAAGCTGTTAGCCGCCCCCGTTGACTTCATCAATTTTTTCTGTCTGTGCATTTATCAACTCCCACAACAAACTCACCATCCCAGTTCTCAAAACATTTTGGCAAAAATCCCAACTCCTTAGCACGCTGTGCATTGATCCTGTCGCCTCTGAAGTCCGGATTTCTGCGTCTACAACCCAGATTGAGCCCAGCAGAACTCCTGCGGGAAGCCTTGGAATGCCTCGTCGTTATCCCTAACCCAAGTCTTGGCCTCTTACCGTGACACCACATCAATCACGCCCTGCTCAGCTGTAAACCTCCCCCGGGTCGTGTCCACAGCATCAGATCCAAACGCCCCAGCCCCAAGTGAAAAACCGGACCAAGTGTTTCACGGAAAAGGCTGCAGCTGGCTGTGCTGCTCCCCTGGACGCAACCCTCCGCTTGAATCGGACGAAACCCACACTTGTAGCTTTCTACTCCTTCCAGCCCCCTTTCTCATGCCCATCCGTTGCTACCAACGCTCAGTTTCTCGAAAAATCCCTGCCATGTAATGCCTCGTGGAGATGCCAGTGTTTCTGGGTTTCCTCCTGCCTGCACCTTGGTCGCTCACATTACGCTTTGACTTTTCTTGGGCTAGGCACTGGACTAGGACCTGGATGTAGGGCACAGGCGTCCCTGCCCGTGGGTCATCACCTGGATCCTGGCTTGAGTCGAGTGCCTGCTGGAGGTGAGCGAGGGGCTTGGCCCCTTCCCCCGCCCCAAACATTGGTTGGTTCCAAGGCCTGCTCCCTTGGGTGGACTCAGATATTTGAGTAGCTTGAACCCATTCTGCTAGCATGCACTTGCTGTTTGTTGACTGCTGCCCTCCAGCAGCCCAGCCGCTGCAGCCCCGTGCGGACACCTGTGGCCCTGCGTGAATCTGCATGCGTGACTTTCTCAAGCATTATGGCGTCTCTGTATAAATTATCCACTTCTTTTGCAAATCCCACCTGCTAACCCCACCCAGCCACACCCCCACAGAAACCAGTCAGGATGTCGAACCTGGTTGGGGGCCGGCGTTGCGTCTGAGGTCTTTGGGCCCCTCTTCTCAGTGTGTCACTGGCAGTGCCCAGAGCCTCAACCTCGTGAGCTCCTTGCTTGCCTGTGAGCAAGTGGCCCATGGCTCAGGGCTGCCAATGTGCATCTATGAAGGGTTGGGTTGGTGGCGGGGGGGCATGGGGGATAGGCTGGGGGGGGTTACCCTCAGTGAATACCTCTCTCTCAGCTCTGTACAATAAAGGAAATCTGATTTTAAAAATAGAGCCTGGAAGAGGAGATGAGAAGATATTTAGGAGTTGGGCTGAGCAGGGGGCGGGAATGTAGGAATTAGGGGAGAGGTGAGGACACTGGAGAAGGCGGAGGCCCAGGGGCAGAGGAGGAAGGTGCAGCATCAAGGGGGTGGTGTATGTGGACGAAGGGAGCACTATATCCTGCGCTGAAAGCAGCCCCATTACATCTGGAGCCCCTTGCCCTCTGCTGCCACGTGGGCATCAGGGGCAGACCGCCTGTCCAGCTCGCCTTTCTTGCAGGTGGTCCCTGGGGGGTGAGGGGTGCAAGCAGCAGGTCTTGAGGTTAAGGATCCCTTATCTCCTTTGGCTGTGTTGGCCTGCTGGAGGTTTTGGGGGCAGTCCATGTGCATGGAGGAGGGTGGGCTGGCTGATTGTTCCCCTCTCTTGTTCAGCCAGTGTCAAGACCACAGCTTGGGGATTCCTACTGCCCTGGTGGGGACAAGTGGTGGGGTTGGTCCCGCTAGTCATTCTAACTGCTGCTTGAGGGGGTACAGAAGGTAGGCTGGGGACACCAAGGCAGGCTCTCTGAGAACCAAGTACCAGCTTGGGTATGAGTGGGGTTCTTGACCACTCACCCCCTGACCTGTGGCCAAGCACACCACTTGCCCATGGGACTACAGTGAGCCTTGGGCATCCTCAAGGGGCTATGGAGGGAGAGGGTAGCCAAGGTCGGCACGGGCTACAAGGCTGCTTCTGGGGGAGGGACCCCGACCTTTCTCCCTGTACTGCTGAGTTGAGGGGCATGTGCCTGTGGCCACACCCCCTGCTCCCCCCCAATCTTGACTGGCAGCTCCAAGGGGCAGCTGGATCATTCTGCCCAGAATAACCTGGGAGGGGGAGTGAGGCGCTTGCGGGAGGGGCTGTGAGAGGGGGCACATGCCAGCATGTCCTTCTTGGCTTGCCCGGATCGGCAGAGCCAATCAGCTGCCTGTGTGGCTGAACTTGCCTTTCAAGGCAAGTGGGCAGGGACTGTGCCAGCTGCCAGGCCTGCTAGGGCCCTGACTTTGAGCCTGACCTTCCTGGGCTGGTCCTCAGTTTCCCCATGTGTGCAGGGTGGGCTTGGGCCTGGCTTGTTTACTTTTCTCCTGTAGCACCAGGTTTCCTGGGTGGTGGCCGAGGCACAGCTCTGGGCGGTGGTGGTTGGGGGTGGTGACCAGGTGGTTTGGACTCTGCAGCCCCCAGCCCTTCCTAGTTTCTGGTTGCATCCCTCCGGTGGTGTCCACAGAGATTTCATTGAAATCGGGGTCCCCATCGGGAACAAGCAGGGCTCAGCCATGTTTGGGGCCCCTCCTTGCTGGGGAGTGCTCTGGGAGCTGAGAGGCTTCACACCACGATCTGGCCCCTTCATGCTATTACGGCTCCTCCAGCTAATAATTTCGCAACACTCACTCTAATTTTCACCAAGCCGTGGACAGCATTGCACACATGATGTCATCTTTAATTCCCCTTTGGCCTTGGGAAGGATTGGGGCCTCACTGTCCATCAGCTGGAGTCGAGAGCAGGGGTGGCCTGTGAGGAGCCCTGATCCCTGAGGACAGCCTGCGGCCCTGTGGGGTGAGGACACAGCCTGCAGGCTGCACTGTCCACCCGCCCCTCACTGGCTAGGACAGCCCCCGCTTCTCTGGGTTGCACTCAGATGTAGGGCTCAGTATTGCCCCTACTTCCCTCACTGCTGGCTTTCCCCTTCCCCTGACAGACGGTGCCAGCGGACACATGGGTTCAAGGTGGGGTGAGCAGAGTCCCTTTGGGGACCTGGAGGGGCTGTGAGGCCCTCTTCATTGCATGGTGTTGATGCTGTTGGTCTCGTTTCCAGATCGCAGCAACGGGCGCCCTCAGTGGCAGCCTCTATCTCTCCAAAAGGCGCATGCCCCTCCTCTTGGCCCCTTTGGCTTATTTGGTTCGACAGAGGAACAGAACAACTGGCCTGGGATCTGCTAATTCTAGTGGCTGCACTGCCTTACCAGGGCCTTCCAGGGCCCTCACTCTGTCATGATGCCATCTCACAAGCTCTTCCCCACACAAGCACCATCTCAGCCCCCTCCCTGGCACCCTGTCACACCCTCTGAGACCCTTCCCCAAGTCTTACCTTGGCTGTAAGTGTCCAGGCGGAATCACCTCCTGGCCTGTGGACTGGAACGTTGCTCGGCTGTGAAAATAGATTGGGCAGGTTGATGTCCCAGCTACTTTTTAGCATTTGCACCCGTCCCATGGCCACAACCACAGCCGTGGCCTTGTAACCCAGCTTGGTTCGCTTTGGGATCTTCTCCCACTGCTGCCCTCGGGCACTCCCTGCTGTGTGCCAGGTGCTGGGCAACACCTTCGAGATTTCCTGTCATGATCCTGGCAGCAGAAGGTGGTTCGGAGCCTAGCAATCCTCTGCACCCATCTTCAGATGCAGCTTTACTTCTGGAAGGAGCTCGGCCCTCTGCCCTTGCTTGAGGGTTAAGCTGAACACATGATTCAGTATTTCTCCAGATCCTGAGCTCCTGGCAAGCCCCTGGTTTGTGGACCCCCATTTTGTTTTCTCCAGCAAGTGGACATAGGCTAGATGTGAGTCTGGGGAGCCTGGCCTCTGGGGACTCCCTGACATCGCTGAACTCCTCCCAGCTCTGCCACCTCTGTGGGCAGTCAGTGAACCCCCTGCCCAAGGAATCCTGAGGGTTCTGTCCTGTCCCAGTGGGGCCCCAACAGCACGGTACATGCAGCAGGGCTGCGGTGTGGCTGTCGCAGCTGGCATGGTGTTTCTGTTTCTCCCACACAGACACACTACAGGGAAGACAGCTACTTCCCAGTGTGAACAGAGCATGTGCCTGGCTGCAGGAAGACTGCCACCTCCTCCTGGGAACGGAGCACAGGGACCAGGAAAAGGTCTGAGAAATGGTCTTCTCTTTTTTGCCCCTATGTCTAGATTTTGATAACTTGTGATTTGTAGGTTTCTTGGGATGGAACTAACGGATGCCCTTCTCTATGCAGCCAAGGCTCACTGCCCAGTGGGCAGTGAGCCAGTGGGTTCCTGGGGCCAAGGTGTGGTCCGGCCTGGCCTCTGGCACAGTCACCTTGGGGAAGACTGGCATCCCAAGCTCACTCAGGGTATGTCTGCTTTTCCCTGGCATGCAGCAATGCTTGTGAGGGGTGTGTGTGTGTGTGTGTGTGTGTGTGTGTGTGTGTGTGTTTGTGTGTACGTGCACTTTGGGGGAGGGTGGTAGTTCTCCAGCCTTCACATAGTAACATAATTATAGGATTGATTGGAAGCTCACCACGCTGTAATGATGCCCTCTGGGACATACGTGGTGAGGGTCCACAGGGCTCTCCTCAGGGTGGGGTCCCCAGGCTCTCCTCAGGGTGGGTGTCTTTGGAGAAGACCTCGGACAGGTGGGTGATGCTGTTCTGTTGAATGGAGTCATTCGCTTCAGAGTGTCTGGCACACAGCGCTCAGCATGCTCAAGTGTCACCTTCCCCTCTTGGTATTGTTGTGAATCCTAGGGTGTTTCCACCCTGGAGTGGTGCAGCCGCGGGCACAGCCTCCGTGTGCCTCCACCCTGAAGTGGTGCAGCCGCGGGCACAGCCTCCGTGTGCCTCCAGGCTGCTGCTAGTGCCTTCTCATCTGGGTATTGTGTTTCATTTTTTAATTTGTGCTACAGATGTTTTGTATTTGCAAACCTGTAACAATGACCTCCAGGTATGTAGAAGGGCCAACTCCCACGCAGAATGTTACAAGAGGTGTGTGCCCAGGGAAGTCCGGTGCTGGGTGCAGTGGCTCAAAGGCCGGTCCAACAAGCCTCTCGTTAAATACCTTCCACCCAGGGTCCTGTCAAAAACAGGTCCCTGCCGGCAGAACGGAGAAGCACTCCGAGGCAGGGCCCCGTCTGTGTTTCCTCAGTGAGAGACAGTTAAACAATTAGCCAATTAGCCAGCTGTGCGCATGGAGACATTCTGGTGGGCTGCTGGGCAGCCCCCAGCCCAGGGGTGCTATGGGTTAGACTGCAAGAGGAAATGTGGCAATTGAGTGTCCTACATGGTAAGCCAGTCACCCAGGGCCACACTGGCCCCGGGCGTTCTGCCAGCAAGCTGCCAGGTTAGAGACCCATGTCTGCAGTAGGACCTCTCCCGTGTCATATTCCCTTGGAGCGTGCATTCCAGCCAGCTAATTGCTCAGAACACGGGCCAGGACATGCGCTTCCTGGACCTCTACAGCACCAAAAAGAAAAATGCACCCTCCAAGTCCACTGCCGACTCCCGTCGGGTGGCTCTGCACCTGCTGGGCTCATGTCACTGACAGGCTGGGGCTCAGCATCAGATAATATAGAATCGAAAAAGAAAAATCTACAGGAAAACAGCCCCTCGTGCCTGAGGGCATTGCTGTAGTGTTTTCTGCTGGCTCCCGATTTGAAAGCCAAATGCTTTTGTTGTATTTCTAAAAACAGAACGAAAACTATCTCTACAAACAAACGCATCTGAATCCCCCTTGAGAACCCCCATCGACGCAAAAGCAGTTATTTGAATCATGCAGGAAGTGTACAGGTAATTAATACATTCCTTTGTAAAAATGCAGTATGCAGATGAAGCTGCCGCGCTCTGAGCCCAACCCCCTCCTAGCCCACATTGACCGTGTTGATTGTCATGTGTCTGTGTTTGCATATGTATGTGGATGTCCTCCACAACGTACTACTCTGTCTTTTACATAAACCCTATTATCATGTACCTCTCTCTTTGCAGTTCTCAGCACCTTGTTTTTCTGCTTGGGGAAAAACCAAACTCATCCCCTGTACCAGCACCTTGGCTCCTGTAATTTGCTCTCAGCAGTTTATTCATGTAGCCAGCCTGCTGCTCTCAGAGCCCCCAGGCCACAATGCTGGGGGGCAGCCGGATCGCGGAGGCAGGTGTGAGTAATTGCCGAACCGGGTTTGGGGAGTGGGCTCCAGAGTGTCTGAGTCTATGAATGCTTAAATTAGCAAAATAAAAGAGGACGTGGCTGGACCAATGATGAGGACATGTCTGTGAACAAAGGACGGGATGAATCCAGGGCCGCCCGAATCCCGGGGTCCAGCAGCACAATGGGCTGGGCTATTGGAGTTTTTTCAAGAGCTGTTTACTAGACGGGGTCAGCCTGCCGCATTGTGGATGGCACCGCGCTCTGCTCTCAGAGGCCCCAGCTGCATGTGCCTTGGGGGCTGAGGCTGCGGACAGCCAGGGACACAGCGCTGCTTGTGATCAGCGTGGCTCGTGGCATCAGGGTGTTCATTTCATATTTTTACCAAAGTGAATGCAAAAGCCTGTGTGGCCCCTGCAGGGGATCTGCCCACAGCTGAGTTTGGTGACCTTTTCTGCTCACTGACACCTGAGGCAGCCACCTTTGTGGGTCCCCAGTTTGCTGCTCCCTGTGCTGTGTGTCGGCAGTGTGGCCCTACTGCCTTTCAATGGCGTTCCAACCTGCGTGCTGTCTTGTTTTAAGCCCTCTATCTGATTTCCTGGAGCTTCTGTGACATGGTTAAAAGCAAAACCGTCAAACAACAAACAAGCTGTAACCTGGCATGGGAGCCTTTCAGGGTCCACCCTGCTGCCATGCCCTACCTTTCTGGCCAGCTTGTCAGGGCCTCAGGAAGAGTATGTTGGCTAGGCACCGGTGCCGGCGCCACCCCGGGGTGCAGCCCTCGCCTGTTCCCAGAGCACCGTTTCGGAGGACTGATGCTACTGGCCAAACATTGAGCTCCCGTGTCCTCTGCTTCCAGAATCCCCCAGCTGCACGCCTGCTCTCGCTGCCTTAGCTGCAGACCGCCTCTGCGTGCGCTTTCTGCATGGACAGATGTCTGTCAGAGCGCCCTGTCGCCTGCTCTGTGCTGTCAGGTGAGTGCAGATTTGCTGGGGAACTACAAACAGGCCTGGGGTACCTGGCCTGGCACCCTTCTGCCACCCCAGACTTATCTGCTTCCTTGGGCAGCTGCATGTGCATCAGGCTTGGCAGGTCTGGGGATGGGGCTGGCTTCCACTGAGGGGTCGTGAGCATGACTTCAGCCTGAGATGGGGGAGCGTGTCTCTCTGGGCTGGCTCCCTGCCAGAGGTGAACGGGACAGGAGGAGGCCTGGGCATAGGGCAGTGCTGTGTGGCACTCCTCTGGCCTTTGGGACAGCCACGTTCTAGAAAGGGCACAGGTTTGAGAGGAAAAGGGGCTACGATGGCAAGCCAGCTCGCTTGTGCCTGTGTGAGG